TCATTCATTCTTGATCTAATTTTCACATTTCTATGAAACTTAGTAAATAGATCCTCTGTTTTGGATTGAGATTCATGCATATTAATGACTAGTACCTGATTCGCACAATAATTAGCCACATTTTCGGCTTTTCCCACCAATATCTCAAGTAATTGATTATCTCAAGTAACTGATTATCTCATATCAATGAAACTTTGTACATAGATGCTCTGGGACAATTCAAAGACCTGATTAGTTTTGGTAAAAAATCATGCACAATAACTCCCTGATTTGCATAATATTTAGCAAATTTTCAGCTTCTCCATAATACCTGAAGAACCATTCATTGCATTTCAATGTAGTACGTAAGTGTTCAGAGAGAATGTGCATAGCTTCTAAGTTTTGAAATCTTCATATCAAATTATCTAATTTGCATAATTTAATTACCTATATTTCAATAAGATTTGCTATATTGAAGGCATCGAACAAGAAATATGATTAAAACAACAGATTTAATATTGTATCATATATCATATTTTGATCATAATAATAATATGCACAACTTGTATCTTGTGCACTGTTGTTTTACAGGTTGAGTATTGGCTTCGGTTTATCAGATCTACAAATGCTGGTAGAAAGTCTGAAGATGAAGATAAAAGACCACATGTAATACTAGTTGCTAGTAGAGCTGATTGGGCCAAGGAATTTCCAAATGAAGGTACATTTAGTCTCATTAACATAAAGTAAATAATATATGGTTAGTTTTGAGGTCACATGATGGTCATATAAATGTCATGTGATCACATTTTGACTCGTTTTCATTTCCAGCCAAGCAAGTTGCTCAGACTATCCATGATGAGGTTCAAGAAACTTTCAAAGATGATCTAAAGATCTTGGATGATGTCTTTGTAATTAACTGTCATAATTCACAGTGTTCTGATATGGAAAGACTGAGAAAGATATTGAAAGAAAGGAAAGCTGCAGTATTGAAGGTGTGCCATACGCTGTGCCACTGTGGATATCTTCATCACCGGAACTACAACTATTTCTGTGTCTCATATATCATCATATTTAACATCAATGTTGATATGTGTTGCAAAGCTTTCAGTGTCTCGTATATCATCATATTTAACATCAATGTTGATATGTGTTGAATAGCTTTCAGTGCCTCATATATCATCTTA